GACTCGAAACCTCATTTGTAAAATGGCAGTAAGTTGTACAGAGCATCACAAAAACCAGAAATGTAGGCGCTTTGTTTAGAAACTGTTTAGACATTGTTAGCACCGCGTCATGGCCTCCTGAGTCTTCACCTCTGCTCAGCTGCCAGGTACCATGCCAGGCAGCACCAGGGATTCCTCCCTTCCTCCCTCTGGCATGAAGCCCAAACTGGGTCCCAGGCATGGCATTAGAGACCCCTTTCACAGTCACCGCCCTTCACAGCCACTCTCCAATGACACCCTTCAAGCCCACTATGCACCTCTGTCACACACTGAAAAGGAACTCCTGCCTGCACTGAGGAGGACAGGAAGACTAAGCTCACCTCTTTTTCCTCTCTGATATCCTTCATCTCATCACCAAATAATATCTAAAAACAAAGGTTTCCTCCAGCATCCAATTTAGGCAGACTAATTTGCTTCCTCCTGTGGACACATGAAAGTTAGAATTTAATGCATAATGCAGTTAGAATTTTAATGCAATAAAATTGCATTAAAAGTTGAGCATGGTGCCACACACCTCTAATCCCAGCACTCTGGGAGGCTGAGGCAGGAAGACTACGAATTCATGCTCAGTCTGGACAACTCAGTGACAGCAAAATCCTGTCTGAAAATAAAAAATAAAATGGGGCTGGGGATGTTACTCAGTACAAAGGCCATGGTTCAATCCCTGGAAACACCAAAAAGAAAAAACAAAGAACAAACAAAAATTGCATAAAGGATAAGCCAAAGGAGGAGGAGGAGGTGGAGAGCAGCTTATTTCCTCACTTACAGAAACAATTACATAGGGAAAATGTAATCATAAAATTACTAAAAACTGAGATATTGAAAACAGAGGTCCTTCTTGTTTTTCCCTCAAACCATTCTAACAAGAAAAGCCCATGCATGTAAACAGAAGCAACTTGGTTTCTTTTTAATTAATAAGAAATAATAAACATTCTACAGTACAAATCACTTTCCCACCTTCAATCTGATTATTTGGTTTAGAGAAATGATACGGTATTGCTTCTACATTTTCATTTTTGGCAATGGAACTAAAACAATGCCCAGAGAGTCGATGGTGAGCCTATGGCATGCTTGCTGCAGCTGAATGAGAGGCTGGCTGGCACCGGGCTGGATGTTCTACCTTTCCATGCCTGGCAGCCTCACATGTGCTCTGCACCCACTGCTGTCATGTCACTCTGGTTAAAAACACCAGTTCCCATAGAGCCACACTCCGGGGAGGCAAGACTGCACCACTGCCTGACTACCAAGTAACAGCAAAACAATACACTGTTCCCAACACTTCCCCTCACCTATATTACCTAAAACTGTCCAGCCAAAACTAAGCATCTCCAAGCTGCCCAAAACTAAGGGTAAAAGAAGCCTAAAAATTTTAAGCATGAAGCATCCAACTAAATAAATTTTGAGGTAACTACACTTGTAGAACAAGGGACTGAGTGCACAGCAGGATGGTATCTTAAGTTCAGAGTTCAAGTGAATGACAGCATCTAACTGCTCACCTTCCTGAACTGACATGTGCTCCTTTGGGCTGGGTGTGAGGCAGTAAGTTTGTTCTTTGGTCACCTCGAATCCTCATTATGTGGTGGGAATCATTGAAATTCATGTGCAAAGTCATAAAATACTCCACTGTGTCATCTGGAAATCCCTCCAACTCCAGTGGCGTCAAACGCATGGTGTTATGGTTGCTAGCATGTGTCTACACTTCGTGTTTCCAATTTCGGCACAGACACTTTATCCTCTGGTGCCAGACACCACTGGTCACAAAGCCAGCAGCCATTCTTTCCTTATTTTGTACGAACACAACTGGTTTTGTTCAATCACAACTGGGCTCAGAGGATAAGCACATTATGTGTATGTAAGAACCTGACAAAACAACATCCATTAATCTGTGTAACAAATTAAACAAACAGTGAAACAAAAAAATCTGCATTTCCTATCTGGGTAGGAGTGGCCCCTGGCACAGTCCTCATGTGGAACTGAGACACCAAGTCTGGAAGAGGCGCTGCCATCACGTGATCATAAAATGACGGCACAACACACTGTAAGTGGCCAGGCAGAAATAGAGGCACCTAGGTCCCTTCCACAAAGGGAAGAATTCCACAGCCCGGGCCTGACTGCCTTGAACCTCTCATAACTGAGAAAAAGAAAACATGTATTTGGTTAGGCACTACTATCTATTTTCTCTGAGAAACAGCCAAACCAGTCTCAAGAACACTCCAGAGATCAAACCTATTTTTTTAGAAGCAAGCGAGAGCCTAGGCGAATGCTGGTGTAACTAGCAGTGATACCGCATGCTCCATGATGCAGCAGGAAGTGCACTTGTTACATAACTGTAAGCCATGAACAGAGCTAACACTTGATATCTGAAATCAGAGTTTGTAGAATCCTGAAAACCACTAAGAAAGATTGTTACAGACTGTAGGAGAAAGATGTCCTAAAATCCTTCCACTCCAAGAAAGCCACAAAGATTCACAGAGTAAAAGCATTATTACCAATCATCTACCTATCTACGTAGGCCATAAAATGGAACTGAAAATGAAAACTTCAGGAGTTCCTTCTGTTGCCATTCAGATAAGCAATTACTAAAATATTTGTGAGAAACTCTGCCTAGTGTCTAAATAGTAAGAGTTGTTTTATTTTTCAGTGATTTTATAGATAAGTTATAAACTGTCCATTCTGTTTTCACAGAGAATGATAATGGAATACTTTCACTACAGTGGTCCAGGGACAGTGAATTGGCAGATCAACAAAAAATAACCATTTTACTGGACCAAAATTACTTAAGATTTTTTAAGTATACAATCTACTGAGTTCACATGAATTGTCTCATTTTCTCACTCAACATAGCAGAAAGCATGTTGGGAAAACAGAATCCTTTGATGACAAACAGCAGAATCTCAGTGCTGTCACTAAAGTGACAGTTAATTAGTTTAATCATTTACAATAAAGGAGAGGCCACTCTGTATTTTATGCTAAGCTACTAAACATTTTCTACACATAGGAAACACACCACACAATTTGCTATAGGAACATAGCAACTTCCATGGACAGTTTCCTAGCATAAACAATAACAATTATGCTTTATTAAAGATAAGTACCCTTATAATTCTGGCTCATATCAGCTAATGATGGTTTCTTTTACATCAAATGATCCTGAATATTTTGACTATGACTGTATTTTATGAGTAACAGGATTATAGTACAAATCAGAATGCCACACCCTTCTGTGTGATTCCAATTCACCAAGCAGTTGCTTATTTTCCCTTAGAAGTAAAAGACCAAAGCAAGACACAAGGATAGACCACACCGTGAATAATTAGGGCTCACTCACCACTACTCCTGTATTTCTCCAGAGGGCCCGGTTTGAAGTCCTTCCAAGAATTAGGCAGAGGACTAGGCCTAACTCTGAACTTCCATATTTAATATTCCAAGTTCCTAACACTGTAGATTACTGTAATTTTACTTTTTGGATCACAGGCAGATTTTGAATTTGCTCCAGCTGACTCTACCTCTTACACTGTTCAACAGCCAGGCCACACGATAACTTGGCAACCAGGTAACTGGTTGGATGGATGGATGAATGCAAATGCATCTGTAACCAAGGAACTCTGTAAGATGTAAAAATCAAAATAACCTCTCTTAAGTTCAAATGGGAACATAAAATGTGAGCAATGCATGATTTCAGAAAATAAGCCACTGTCCTTTGAAAGTTTAGTGAACTGACACTGCCTATTCAAAGCCTACCATTCTTTTCTGATTAGATCAGCCCCCAAAAGCAAGTCACCAGGGTAAGCACTACAGTGAAATCATCATATCCGATATGATGGGAAATCATAACTGGCTTTCAAACACATCGGGAAACAATGAGTTTTCCAGGTCTCTAGCTTTTCATGGAATATACTGGCCGACATGCTTACTTTCCTTTCCAAGACTAAATGAAATATGGAACATATACAAAGCCAAAGACAAATCAATGACCTAAACATTTTAAAACCATAAGGAAAATGAGACATACCCCTCAGTTTTTCAGTCAAATCTTGGGAGAAATGTTTGAAGAGCCACATGGTTGAATGCAACATAGATTGCAAGGTTAAGATTAAAATGAAGTACGGTGAGAAGTACAACAGCTTTCCAATCTTTAGTTTTATTTATGAAGGCAAATACAGACAAGTATCTAAATCATGTCTGCTTCCTCAAGGCAGGTCACTTGGAATCATATCACCACTGGTGTACAACTGGATGCGACAAAAACTAGCGCAGCCATAACTTTTTCAAAAATACAAAATATTTACATTGTAGAACGTTGAGAGTTTCTTCATTCTGACTTTATAGGTTACAGGTATCTCCAATAAGGCTTAAGGTTTACCAGTCTACAATGCAATATTCCTCATCTTTGAAATCCCACAGACAAATGATTAAGAACCTTATTTTAAACAGAAAGACAAAGGTAAATACAAGTGTACACATCACACACATTATTAATGTAGTTTAGCCAAAAACACCACTGCACTTGCTTTACAGTAGTAAACCCAACCACGCCGTGGCACATATAGATTCCAGCTGTGCTGTTTACAATGCTCTACAGATACCGCCAAGATCTCAGTTACAAAATACAATCTAGAAAGTACGTAGATGTGGGGATTTGAAATTTTGGTATTCAGTTTGGGAGTTTCCATTTCTACTTTTTACTAATAGAAGACTACATGCAGTTTAATCATATAATCCCACTCAATCTGCAGAAACTGAGTAAGTCCAAAGAAGTAATTCAAAGATACAAACCTATCTGAGGCTATTCCAACCTATGGAACAGACGGTTATCTGCTATTCACATATGCATTTGTGAGCCACAGTTGGGTGTGGAGCGCTGTAGGGGCCACAATAAGCAGCTGATCCATTCGTACACGCCTAAAAGCACATTCCGTGACATAAGAAAGGCTCCAGTCCTTCTCTGCCTTCAACTGTGAAGAAAACACGATGCTAAAACATCAGCATTTATCAGGTTGGCACAGACTGTCTGAACATAAGTGACAGACCTAAAAACATTTCAAAATACCCTTCTCCACATTTAAATCTTCAAAACCTCACTGACAAGCCTTACATCCATCATGCTATCAAGTGATTTTTGCCATACACTAAGTCAAGTCACAGAGCACCACCTTTTTTTTTCAAATAAGAAAAGGGAAACGTGATTTATGCTGCTCTCAGCAGTGAAAGGGTTCGCGTATTTGTGAGCACCGAATCTCTCCACGCCCTCCGGGAGGCCCACAGAGCATCGCAGCCGCCCGGCTGGAGGCCGAGGGCGGCACAAAGGCGGCGGCAGCTCAGGCCGGCCTCCGCCGCCGCCCAGCGCCGTCCTCTGCGCCAGCACCCACCTCGGTACCGCTCCAGCACGTCCTCGTAGGCCTGGAGGTACTCCTGCTCCTCCGCGCACAGGTACGCGGCAGGGCACAGGTGCCCGGCCATCCCGGGCCGCCCCAGGGGAGACGTCCGGGCGCAGCGGGCGGACCTCGGCCAGCTGGGGGCGCGGGGACCCCGCCAGGGGCGCCTGCTCTGGGCCGGGACGGCCGCGGTGCCGGATCCCCGGCGCGCTGCGTCCTCCGCCCGCGGTGCCGCCGCGCATCTGCAGCGGTTGCAGGGCCGCGCAGTGGGGGAGGGAGGGAAAGGGGAGGGGAGGGAGCAGGAGGGAAGGAGGGAGGGAGGGAGGGAAGGGAAGGAGGGAGGGGAAGGAGGGCAGCAGGGCATGGTCAGCCCACCCGAGCTCGCCCCTCCCAGCGGCCGGCCCCGCCCCACGCAGGCTGGCGGGCCCTGGGACCACAACAGGTGCAGGGCAGCTGCAGCGCACAAGAGGGCCAGGGCGGCGTCCGGGGAAGCTCAGCTCAGTCCGGGGCAGCTCGGCTCGGCTAGGCTAGGTCTGCACAGCGCCCTCGCCCTTGCCGGAGCCGTCCTCCTCCATCTTCAGTGTGCAGGCCTCAGAGCCATGGCCCCCTGATTTCACTGAGTCCTCTCCTGAAGCGGTGGGGGACACCCCTCTGAGGACATGCACATGACCAGGCTGCCTGGATGCAGCTCTGAGTCCTCAGGACCTCCTGGCAAGGGCACGGTCCCTTCCTGCAGCCGTCTTTCCCGGATACAGCCTGTAGGCCTCCTGTCTAAGGCACTCATTAGACCCCATTTCAGTGTTGTAAATCTGCTTGTTGCTAGCCATCCTGACCATGTCAACTTCACCTCTTGTCCAAATCTTCCTTCCCACTTTCACCCAGACTAATGCTTTGCCCTTAACGGTTCTTACCTTCTATTTTGCTGTTGGGTGTTGTGAAATCGGGACAATGTTCCCTTAACTCTTGAGATGATGATGAACAAAAACTGTATGCTCTTGGAAAAAAAATACACTTCACTTAGTACACCTAACTCTAATTGGCCTGCTTTTATTTCTCAAGATGAAGCAAGAATGCATGTTTTCTCTCCTGACAAACGGTTTATAACCTGAGTTTGATCCCTCCTCCCAGCAAACTTCTAAAATTCCTGGTGCGTGCACATAACGCAATGCAGCTGACACTCAGGTACATACTGGTTCCTTAAGAAACAAGCAGGTTTCCGTGGACACTTGAGATGAAAGGGTTAGCAATCAGATCCCAGGAGGCACTCTGTTTAGAGACCACACAAAGAAAGACACAGCTCTTGCTAGCCTGTCTTCCTCCTGAGGAGCAGTCATTTTGAGGGCCTAAATCTAAGTTTTCATCGGAGACTGATATCCAGGAGCGATCAGTTTTACCAATATAGCCATGAACATTTGCTTATTTTTACTGTCCATTTAGAGAGCCCATCAAATGAACAGAACCTGTCTGTAAAAGCTTTTGCCCCAAGCACTCTTGGAATGGGCCTGCTGGGTCGATACCCTGGAATAATGGCGTGTCCCACTGGGATCAGCACAAGCTCAGCAGGAAAGAGCTTTGTCTCTTGAGCCCAGATTGCCTGAATTCAGTCTTGCCCTATGACCTTGGATGTTTCTCCTCATCTCAACAAATTTCTAAACTGAATAATGGAGAAAACCACAGTTCCTACTTTATAGTGTTTTTGACAGACCTAAATGAGAAAACACAACATTCAGAAGGGCAGCTGATCATCAATGTGCTACCATATAAAGCAAGTGCGTTCCATGTGCCAAGCACTCTGCAAAACACTCCACACTCAGTGCTTACTTATCAGGGAAGGCCCTTGGATCAGCTGGGGTTGAGAAAAGTTCTGTAAATCGTTTAAGCAAGTAAACACAATAGTTAGTAGCAGAAGAAGATTTAAAATCCAAGACTGCCTAAGTTTAAAGTCTCTGCTTTGACCATTCAAATTTTACATTCAAAAGTTATTTAAAATAGCATCATCGCTAACAAGCCATGTACTTTTAACAGGTACTTTATGAATTAAAAACCCAACTTAAAGGACCCTGAAGGTAAAAAAAAAAAAAAAAAGATTATTCTTCATATAAAAAAGGTGTTATAGTTTTGTTCAGATCCTCCCTACCAAGCCTCATGCAGTCATGGAGCTAAATCTAGTGTTTGTGATTGGTTTGTTGTCGAGCACTGGGATTGGCAGTGTGAATGCTGTATCCATCCAGGGGTGGAGCTGGCATATGATACAAGGGAGGGAAGAAGGCACGTTTTTTTCCTCTTTTGCCCTTTTGGCTCTTGCTGTTTGCACCAGCCATGAACAGCTGCCCCTCTGCCATATCACCCTGCCTAGGAGCCAGCTGAGTATGGAATGCAATCTCCAAAAATGTAAGATAAATAAACCTTCCCTTCCCTAACTTTGGCAATAAACCTTCCCTTCCCTAATTTTGGGCATGAGGTATTTTGTCTCAGCAACAAGAGAAAAGTAACCAAGACAAAAGGCATGTGCATAATGGGTGTTATAAAATAGACTTTCTTACATCTTGTCAGCATACTCTCACACTGGCCCTGATTGATAGGAAGTAAATATACTATGCCCTCAAATTTAATGTGATGAGACTACAATAAATGTACACTTGTAAAACTGTAATATAGGACTGGGTTACCCAGCAGGAGAGACCTCACCTTACAGGTGCAAGACTTGGAATCTTAATCCTTCAGAAGTTCCATGCCTCACCGCAAAACAGTCCCAGTCCTCAGGATTGTGCTCAGGCTCCTAGCTGCTGCCATCCTTCCCCAATTCCACACAGGACTCATAGTTTCCTAGCTCTGTCCATAGAGTGCCAAACCTTTGAAGTACCAGGTGTTCTGCTTCCCTTTTCCATCATACTCTACATCTCAAGTGGTACTTCCTCTCAAAAGCCTTCCAGGAACCTCCCATGCCTCCCATCTCTCTCCAAGTTAATGGGACTCTCTCCTGGGTTCTTTTAATACTAAGTAGGTACTTATCTATTACAATTTATCTCTGGAACCAAGCTGTAGTTATCTAACAGCACATCCCTTATCATCATAGCTATGCCTTTTTAAAGGCAGACCTGTGTGCTGTTCCTCATTCTATTGCAGAGACTAAGTCTTTGTTAAATGTGGATAAATTAAAGTACTGTTATGGTTTATGTTCAGATGCCCCTGCCCCAGTCCCATGCAATCATGGATGCAGCCAAATCTACCATTTGTTGTCTAGTGCTTGGATTGGTGGTGAGTGCTACATCCACCCAGCATAGCATAACTGCAGGATGAAGGCATGCCTCTCTTTTTGCCAGGTTCACTCTTCCTGTTTGCGGCTGCCATAACTGCTGCCCCACCACCACCACCACATGCCATCTTGCCACTTGGAGCCAACTGAATAAGGACTAAACCTCCAATCTGTAAAACATACCTTCCTTTCCCTAACTTTGAGTGTCAAGTATTTTTTCTCAACAGCAAGAGAAAAAAATAACTAAAGTACCCTACAGATCATATTGGCTTTTTGATTCAGTAGATACTTTCACAATCAATTCTACTTTGATGATGTCAAAAACAAAAACATTAAACTTCCTCCTTTTTATTAGTAATGAATACCATCACACCATTTCTGAATATCACTTCCGGTCTTCCAAGGAATAAATTTCAAAGAGGCAGTAAGTTTCAAGAAATATGTGAAAATGTATGAGATTAGAAATGGAATTATTAGTGATGTGTTTTCAAATTTCCATCACACCAGAGTCCCTTAAATAAACTATACCTCATCACCACTTGGGGTGATCATTGGCCAACTTACTTCATGATAAGTCTGAAACTCATAATTTAGTCATGTTATAAATTAGATGGCTATCTGTGGACTGGCTCCCAAGTATGATTATTTTTTTATGACTGCAACACCCAATTTGCCAACATAAAACCATGAGATTCTACATTGTTTGCTGTTCGTCTTGTTTTGCTCTATTTTTGAAGACTTACTGTAAGTTTAAAAGTAGGCAGGTAACTTTAGCCAGTTGTGGCAGCTTGCACCTGTGAACCCAGCAGGAAAGAAGAGGCAGGAGGGTCATAAATTGAAGGCAAACCTGGACAACTCTGCACTTAGCAACACGAATCTCAAAATAAAAACTAGAACAGCTGGGGATATAGCCCATTGTGAAAGCCCTGGGTTCAACCACAGAAGCACAGTGATGCTGTAGACCATCCTGAGGTCTCAGCCACTTCACAGATACTCCACCATCTCCATGTACATGCTCCTTCAGCCTCTGCCCACAGGAGCTCAGCCTGCTACTGCATGTGCCCTGCCCCTCATCAACACCTCCTTAGACCCCACTTCTTCAATTCCTTCCCACCTACTGTGGACAATGATGGTTAATGCCAACCTCTCCCAACATAGGCAGGGGGGTCTTCCCTGACTGTTATAATCTCATCCCCCCTAACAAACACCCACCCAAACAATCGCCTTCCATTGGGGAGCACACAGGACAGGCGCCCTGCTCTGACGGCCACCTTGCCACCCTCCCTGAAGCCCCGTTCTCTTTCCAGTGTCACCAGCTCTCCCTTTCAACAGACAAGGAGGCACGCCTGAGTGACTCAGCACTTTGGGGACCCAAGGAGGGCAGGAGTATGGGAGCCAGGGCCAAATCCACCTCTGCTGCTCTGCGGGCTCCCAAGCGGACTGCAACCCCTCCTCCTCCTTCCTGCTCCACCCACCTCTTCAAAGACCCAGAGGCCAGCCAGCATCTCACAGCAGAAGCCTGAAGAAGCTCAAGGCTGTTGCCCAGAAACCCAGTCTAGAGGATGACTGGCTGTTTGTTTTTCTGTAAATCACAAATCCCTCTAGGGGAATTTTAAGGGGGTTGTTCACAGCCAGGGTGGCTGTAATTTAGGCTGGTGCCCTCCAGTGCCCCTTGGAGGAAGAAAAAGCCTCAACTCTGCATTATTGAGGGAAGCAAAAGAAACTGAGACAGGAGTTAGAGTAGGGACTGGAGAGGGGAGGAGGTCCAGACCTCTGACTGCAGAAACAAACTAAAAACACCCACTGCTCTGGCCCTTCGCAAGAGAATCTCTAAGGGCCTAATCCATCAGCCCTGTTACCATTTCCAGGAGGGAAATAAACTGTGGTGGGGATAGAGGAAAGAGGACCCCACAGGCACTGCAGGGTTAAAGGGCTGAGTTCCACAGTGTTCTCAGCTTTCATCTGGGTAAAACAAGCCAACACTTCTGGTTAGGCTTTTACAGCCAATGCAAGGGGATACCGGGTAACAGAACAGAAGCTCTGGGCCCTCCCATGCATTAATTAATCAGGAATGCACAATGGTAAACCCTCACAGGCCGTTGGACAGATGATGCCAGCAGAGATGTACATTACAAAAGAGAGACCAAGCTGCTGGACTCTATGATGCAATCCCGTGTACCAAACACCATGTATTTATTCAAGGTAAACTTGTGCAGCTCCATGCCCTAAACAAAAATGAAAAGGAAGCTGCTTTCTCTTGGCTTCCAACAAATACTGGAGGAATCACTAGGTTAGTGCTCTCCAGTAGCTGTGCATGTAAATAAGTGTTTCTAAATAGTTCCACAAATTTTAAATATATCAATTTATCCAACCAGAAAACAGAGCCAAACAGCTTAGTCACCAGCAAGGAAACTGCTCTAGCGGTAAAAGGAGACAGAAGTAAACATAGTCATCTTCCTCCCCCCACCTGGAGGACAAATCTCCACCTAGGGAAACTGCCCACCAAAAGGCCTCAGAAAATACAGAAGTGGATTTCCACGACTGTGGTCCCCACTTCATCCCCTCCCCAATTGCACTTACCTGCTATCCTGAGCACCGCCCTCTCGGCAGGGTCCAGCACAGAGCCCCCCTGAATCTTTCTTTTGGATCGCTCATGTTTAGGCAAATTCCAAGGCAGGGTGTCTCCAGGAGCTGGAGATGCTGAGCCAGATTTCTGGCTGAAATCATCCTCATCAGAAAAATCCGCAGAGGAAGACATGGAGCAGCGATAGGATGCGTTCCCAGAACTCTACAGAGGATGACACAGAAGAAAGCATTAAAGGCAGAATGCTCACAGACGCTCACAGATTTACACAGCTGCCGCCCGCCTGCTCACACTGCTGAGCACCTCAGAATGGGGTCTGTACCATCCTCAGAGACTGGGGAATAGCACACAAACAAACATAAAATGAAACCCAGCCCTCACCATCTCTTCTCGGCCAAGTCTCCGACAGTACAAACAATATCCAGACAGTTCTAACGCATGAAGATTTGCACGTAAGAAGCGTGTGGCCTTCGGTCCTGCCACCAGCTCACAAATGACGGGCCCAACAATAAAGCCAGAATCAACAGCCTTCCTGTACCAAATCTAGAGCGTCTGGCTCCCCCACCAGGACAGGAGAAACATTTCCCGTGCCTAGACTGCTGGTTAATGCATCAACTCAACCAACTCCAAGTTTCAAAACAAAGCACAAACACAGGATGTGAGTCCCCACTCCTTCCCGTCTCCAGTAGCCCCCTCACCAGCCAGGAGTCCTGTGTCTTCTTTATTTAATTTTCTTCCCGAGGCTTAGGCAGGTTCCCAGAAAGGAGCAGAGAGGGAGGGAGGGCTGATTCTGAGAAGAGCCTTTTCTTAAAACCGGGAGAGTACAAAAGCCTGTTTTCAGAAGCCTGAAGCAGTGCCAATAAACAAACATCTGAACTCAAGTTTAGAGTTCTTGAGGTAATTTAAACTTGGAGCAACCCAACAGCTGCCAATAATGTAAATGAGAAGGATGCAAGCGGTGACATGACACTGGACTTCTCTGCTCCCTGGTCATTGCACAGAGAAACAAGAAACTCACTGTTGTTACGGAAGCACTTTGCCTCAAGGTTACTCCTCCCAGAGCGGACAGCAGCCCATCTGCAGGATCACGTCTTGCATAAAGGGTTTTATCTCCCACTGAAGAGAAAGGCCCCAGACCTTATTCTTCCCACTAGGCTGGGCTGTGCCTATTTAAAGAGCCAGGGGCTGGCTTACTAAGGAAGCCAAGATGCTGTGTATCTAGGCTGTGAAGAGTTATAAATGAAGTACCAAAGGGAAACCTCTTCCTTCCTGTTCCTCTTTGCTGAGGCTCACAGGAATGATGTGAAACTGGTGCAGCTGGAATTCCTGAAATGTAAGTTGCAGCCAAGGATTCCTAAGAAGCAGGCTGCAGGCAGAAATCAGCCAGCAAGGCATGTTGGAGGGGAATCCCAAAAACAGCAGCCACAGCAACACAAACAGGTTGTGCAGACAACGTCCCAAATCACCCGTGTACTTGGAAATGAATCAGGACCACTGGCCACACCGCAACCCACGCGAATGTGTGTGTAGCTAAAACACGGCCAATACCATCATTTCGAAAGTTCACAAGCTCCTTCCCACAAAGTGAGATGTCTAACAGGGGTCTTTAGTGCGAGGCTCCTCCCTGCCCCTCCGTGCCCCCCCCCACTCTTCCTATTATTTTACAAGAACTTTTATCACCTTGGCTAAATGAATAAAGGTATTTAGATTTTGTGCACAAAATCTAATTATTTAGATTCTAGTGACAATAAGGCATTAGACAAACTTGAGGCAGAGAAGTAAGTAAAATTAACTGTGTGTGTGTGTGTGTGTGTGTGTGTGTGTACCGTGACGGCAGTCCACAGAAAATTGCGAGTGGCATTAAGTCAGTGATGGCCTGCTAGTATCAATCCAATTTATTTTCCATGATTTTCTGAAAATTCACCTTACACTGTCTGAGGTTTTATTGCTGGCAGGATCTGCAGGGAAGGGTGAGGTTCTTAAAGACTTTTAAAAGGCTATTGTGTTTCTCTGGTTGCCTCTTGTCAGTCTTAAAATGGCTTCCTACCTGTCCTTAGCTAAGGTCACCCTTTATCTGTGAGATTGTATTTCTTCTTGTCTGCACAATTTTAGTGACTACAGTAATTTGATTGTTTATCTTTACAGAAAAAAATTTTTAATGGCCAGAGTCTCAGCTGAGTGAACGACAAAATGTAACTTATGCCATGACATAAACACTATTAATCACAAGTAGCCAGATGGGAGGGACCACTACCCCAGACCCAAGGGTGTTGATGGATTCAGCCTCCAATCTGGTCCTGTCATCGTACACAGATAAGAGAAAAGAAAGAAGACAATTAGCAACACCTCTTTCAGCAATATATCACAGAAAAATACAGGCCACACACCTATGCAAACTGAGGGAAATTACAGAAATTTTTCATAGTAAAGATTCTGCCTAACAATTACATGGTTAGAGCACTCTAGCATGGTTCAAGTGCTCTAACAATTACAAAATTAAGTTTTTCTCACAAAAAAAATTTCATAATCACTTTTTTAAATGAAAGGTAAATCATACAAATTTAAGCTCACTGGAACACTGAAAATTGGGAATGGGTTTTAACCTGCTTTGAAGTGGAAGGAGCCAATAAAACTATTATCCTATTGATCTGAAATGACTTGCCCAATTACGTCACATTCAAGGGAATAGTATGGTAGACAATAATTCATTGAGTTATGAGGAAGGCAGCAGTGAGTGGAAGAGTGTGAGCTAGCGTGGGTGACCAGCTGATAAAAATTAAGAAAAGGCAGTGAACTAGGACTTTGCAGCAAGAATGAGCTTCCCTGGGAAGTAAGGAGTGCAGGCCACCCCTTGTTCAAGTCCCTACTACATGTCCCAATTTCAAGGGAAACCAGTGTGTGGTTCCCAACTGGTCACTACATCCACAGAGCCACCTGTGATAGGTGACCACTGAGTGACTGAGCAATATCTGTGCTCTGTCTATAATTAGCCCTAAAGCAAGAGGCCACAAGGCCATCTGCTTAGAAACCCCTCCTAGCCTGGGGATTTAGCTCAGCGGCATAATTGCCTGCTTTGCAAGGAGGCAGTCATGAGTTCGATCCCTGGTACCGATGAAAAGGAAAAAGACAAAAAAAAGAAACCACTCCTAGAAATCCAGTCCCATTTCACCTCCTCCTGATTTCCAGTAAAACTCCTAACTTCTGCCTTTGGTTCACTCCTTGGCATCTGCAGAACCAAGAGCCCAGTACACACAGTGTCACTATGAGACTGTGGGACTGTTGCGTTTTGTTCAGGGAGAAGTAGCCTTGTTACCTGAACAGGCTGGAGCCTGACCTCTGTGATGCAAGGCCAAGGAAGAGGGCTTCCGGGACCCCAAAGCCACAGGCTCCTCTCCTGTTCTACTCTCACTGACTAAGAATTGGTTCCTATCAAAATACAAATCTCTGTGCCCATCAATAGGTGAGTAAAAGGGTTAGAGTATACTCATGCCAGTAATCAAAGAAAAAAGTTAGTGATATACATTCATCAAAGTCATAGTCCTTTTTAAAGAAGGAGTCCAAAAACAAAAACACTGCACAGTGTGCATGCGATGTGTAGTCAGCTACTAATCCGTAAAAATCTCAGGGTGACAACTAAGACTATGAAAATTTTTATTTCTTATAATTTTTACTCTGAAATAAATGCATTACAAGGTTACCAAAAAGAAATGCCCAAATACCAAAAGTTCTCTGAAGAAGCAATTAATACGGCACTGTTTTTAACTGTTTAGACTCATGAACACCTCTGCAAAGTTACCGGAATCCAGAGAAATTGCTTTCCTGAACAAAGGGAATAAGCAGCTACACTAGAATTCTACATCCAATGTGATGGGGTTCCACTGACCTCTGACCCCACGCTAAGGCTCCAATTCACACCATCAGTTGTCACCGCCCACTTGGAATGCATGCTGAGAGCAAGAACAGGAAAAAGCTCTTCCACCAATGAGGGAAAAGGGTAATTAGCGGCAGTGTTTGGCCTAGGTCATAGTATTTTTAGCATTTGGCCTCTTTTTGTATAAAGGACTATGAGCTATCTCTGCCACCCCTCAGAAAAACCTAGGCTGGAACAAACTAAAAATTCCTATGTTGTGTCTTATTAAAGTAGTTTGTTTGGTACCAGGGATTGAACTCAGGACTGCGTGCTTGCAAGACAGTTGCTTATGCCACTGAGCTAAATCCTCAGCCTGATTAAAGCAGTTTTAACAATTGAATTAGATCACTGAAAGCTTTAAACTGACTTTCCTAATAGCCAATTCATTCATATAGCATAAAAATAAGCCGAATCTCCTATAGCCAGTATAACTACATAATGTAACATTTTTAAGAAGGGGAACTAGACAGTAACTTCTTTAACTGAAGCTCATGCAGGGCTTGAGACAAGTACAATGGAACTGCCTAAACTGGTCTTGGCCCCACCAGAGTACCGTGATCCATAGGAAAATGCCAGGAAGGCAATGGGAAACAAGTGCAGTGCTAAGGGTTTATAAAACAGCCTGGACTTTCGGATCCCAGAGATAGAGGGTAAGCTTTCTGAAGCCAACACACCATCATTTAAACACATTTCTGCATATATGTCTCACAAGAAATTTATTTTTTAAAAAATACACAGGAGGAGGGGCTGGGGATTTAGCTCAGCGGCATAAGCACCTGCCTTGCAAGCAGGCAGCCATGAGTTCAATCCCCGGTACCGGTAAAAAGGAAAAAGACAAAAAAAAAAAAAAAAAACAGGAGGAAACAGTTGAACAAATTTTGATTGTGTGATATCCTACAACACAACTGTCCTAGACTCCACCAAAAGGCAGTGGTATAAAAACATACATACCCCAGTAGGCCAGTTTCAGTTACAGGACAAAAGAGACCTAACAAATTCAAGAACTCCAAGTAATGTTTTTGGTTTGTTTTTAACTACACAGACATTTTAGGGACAGCTTGGAAAATGTGAACACGGGTCATGGGTTATTTAGTAGATAATATTAGAAAATGATTGATAATTTTCTAAATTGTGACAGTGATACTGTGCTATGCAAAATTCAGGCTGAAGAAGCAATGTCTACATTTATTTTTTATTTAGGGATTTTGAATAAAAAAGAACTAGTGAATGAGACAGAGAATAAAAGCTATTCATTGGACTACTCCAAGTTTTTGCACATTTCAATTATTTTCCA